TTCCCAACATCAGCGGACACCAGATGCAGTCTGCAGCCGCTTTGCAGACTCTTCGTGTGTCACCCCACTTTCCCACCCATACTGGTGGAGAGGCACAAACCGGACCCAGGGGACACCCTCAGCTCTGAGTTTAGGGCAGCTCCCCACTGTCCTTCCCTGTCTGCAGCCACCTCCCTGTGCTCTGAATTTCTTCTCCACTTGTGCCCAATGCACCTGCTCACCCTCAGATCTCTCTTTGCCAGAACCCCCTCCTGGGCCCAACCCCCCTCGGCTCTCAGTCAGGTCCCAGGAGGGTTTTCATTTGTGTTCTGCAACTGTTTTTATTATTATTTTTATTTTTATTATTTTATTTTATTTTATTTTACAACACTATTCAGTTCTACATAACAGCAACAGATTCCCTTGTTCTCCCCCTTCCTGCCCCCCTCCCCTTCCCCCCAGTACACCCCCCATTCCCACCTCCTCCAGAGCAGGGCCTCCCCTGAGGACTGAGATCAACCTGATAGACTCAGTCCAGGCAGGTCCAGTCTCCTCCTCCCAGACTGAGCCAAGCGTCCCTGCATAAGTCCCAGGTTTCAAACAGCCAACTCATGCAATGAGCCCAGGACCTGGTTACCACTGCCTAGATGCCTCCCAAACAGATCAAGCCAATCAACTGTCTCACCTATTCAGAGGGCCTGATCCAGTTGGGGGCCCCTCAGCCTTTGGTTCATAGTTCATGTGTTTCCATTCGTTTGGCTATTTGTCCCTGTGCCTTATCCAACCTTGGTTTCAACAATTCTCGCTCATATAAACCCTCCTCTTTCTCACCAATTAGACTCCCAGCGCTCTACCCGGGGCCTAGCCATGGATGTCTGCATCCAGATTCCTCAGTACTTGGATGGGGTTTCAGTCTCTTTTCTTCCCTTGAGGGCCGTGGCTGAGCATGGGCAGAGGCTGGTGTTTGCCCTGCTCACTGGCCTCAGCGTTGAGCCTAGTCCCTGCCTGGCATGTGCAGTGTGAGGGAGGCTGGCAGGTGGAGACTGCCCGGGGGAAGTGATGTTATATGAGTTTGTGGATGGCTCTGGACCCTCCCTCCCCCAGGCACATCTGCAGCATGGCTCCACGGTCTCAGCAGAGGTGGAGACAGCAAAACGACAGCGTCATACTAAGTATCAGGCTCGCCCGCCCTGCTACCCACACTTCAGGAAGCTCAAGACCAGAGAGAGGGAAGAAGGGCCCTACCTGAAGCACTGTGGTGAAGGGGATGGCAGAACCCGAGATCCAAGGAGGGCTTCACTTCTTGGCCAATGGCCCAGGAGAGAGATTACTCAAGGGACAAGTGCTTGGTAGATGCCACCAAAGGCATGGACACCTCCACATGTGCAGCCCATTACAGTTCCAAAGGATATGTCCCACCTTCAATCTGTAAGTAGTCACATGTGGCTGGCCAGACCCAGTCTTCCAGTGGAGAAGCTGAGCCCAGTGTCTGCTGCCTGCATCCCTGGAAAAAGACTCCCTAAGAGGCTGTGTGGGTGAGGGCCACCATCAGCTTGCTGGCTGTGGTATTCTGGGATCTTCCTGCGTAGGGCGTGGACATGTGAGCAAGGCATCTGAGTCCCTCTGAGGTACCTGAGAGCTGGAGGCTGTGGTGTGAATGGGGGCCATGTTTAGACTTGTTTGTAGCACAGCGTGGGTGAGAGTGTGTGAGAAACCTCAGGCTCACAAGGGTGGGATGCAGAGCCAGCAATGTGGGGGTGCAACTCTGCGGACGTGTGGGAGTCTGGCTGGGTGTGCACCTTCGTAGAGGCAGGGGTTCTGGAAGATGAGATCTGCTTGCTGGTTACCTCAGAGTCTGCCTAGAGTCTTGCCCCCTTTGCAGAGGTAGGGATGGGAAGTCAGCAAGGTTGATGCCTGGCAATGAGGGGCCAGCTTTGAACTCTGGAAGCCCCTCCCGGGGGTCAGAGCACAGAGTTGCAAAGACCTCTCCTTCCCTGAAGGGCAGGACCGTGAGGCCTCCTGGAAAGCCCCACCAGCCCTCCACCTGCTGTGCCTGTTGCCTCTCCCCTGGGCTGCACACCAATGTGGAGAGAGAGCACCCAGGGCTGGGGCCAAGGACGTCCAGCAAAGTCGTGCCAAGTGAGAACCTTCAGACCCGGCAGCAGCTCGAGTAGGGACTGCAATTCTAGTTGGACTTAAATTCTAGTTTGGTGCTTGAAGAGAGACTGAATCAAACCAAACCGGGGCAAGAAACAAGGCCCAGAGATCACTCTCCGTGACCTTGAACAAACACTCGGCCCCCTCAGGGAAATGGGTGCATTAGCTTTAAATCAACCTCATTCCGTGGGAGGGGAAAAGGAGGTACCCCCATTAGTTCTTAGAGTGTCTTCTAGTACTTTGGATCCAAGCAGAATGCAGCCTGCAAGATTCGGGGAGCACCTGCTAGGGCAGCCCTTGCGATCTTGGAGCTATGCATCACGCGCGCAGCAGCGAGATTGCAGGTTGGTGCCCGAGTGAGGGGGCCCTGGCGGGTGGAGCTTCGGTCGCCAGCCTGGGGCTGACCTCTGAAACAGGGAGGATTTCCACGGCACAGCTTCCCGAGAGAGCAGGATTAAGAAGAACTGCTCGGGTGGGCTGAGCCAGGGGCCAGGGGGAGGCCGGGCGGAAACCCAAAACCTCCGCAGCTGTTTCCAGTTTGCCGCCTGTGTTGGATCGCGCTGAGTGCTGCGCCTGTTGGTTCCCGAAGCCCGCATCCTGTAGAGCCCTGGAGCGCCTGCTGCTTTGCCCTGGCCTGGACTAGGGCTTCTCTGTCGGACTGCCCTCACCTCCGCGAGTCAATCCCACCCGCTCTTTCTCTGACTTCTTTTTAAAATTCTCATGGAATCAAGGATATTGTGGAGATCCGAGGTTCCCCTGCAATACTGGGATACTGAGCTCTCTTGATCACGCTCCCTTGAGCTTTTCTGCCCTGGACACTGGGCCCACCCTGAGCGGGCAGCCCTGCTCACCGTCATATATACATGGGAGGCCTGCCAAAGGCTTTGGGGACATATGTCACTTCCCTCCCTGGCTCTATCCTCGGTGCCCACTCTCCCCTCTCCTGGGTATCTCTTCCACCTGCTTCTGTCCCATGCAAGGTGCAGCAGCATGGGAGCCCCCAGGATGGGTGAGGTTCCAGTGCTGGCTTCATGCTCCAAATGAAGGCAGAAAAACTTTGCTTGCTATGGTCTCGATGCCAGCCTCCCATCCAGGAGGAGATGCGAGAGTAACTCACAGGGAAGGGAAAGGTAGTGCAGGAATTAGGGCTTATGTTTCAGAGTCAGACCGGCCTGGTGCCTGCCAATCTTGCTCCTCTGCCTCCTCACTGTCTTTTTGAGTAAACCCTCTGGGCCTTAGCTCTAAGTGAGGCAGACCTCAGCAAGCAGCAGCCACAGGGCTCTATGCAGAGTAAACTTGGAGCTATAAAAGTTTCTGCGTGTTCCCTTTTCTATCTATGAAACTGTGGGACCCCAGCACTATTTAGCCCTCCATGGCTCCTTAGGACAACCCCCTAGAATAAAATCCAATTCCTACATCAACAACACAGGCCCGCCATGATGATCCTCAGATTTATCTGTCGAGTTCTTGTTTGCTAAGCACCTGATAGACACTGAAATACATTTTCCCATTGCCTTGCCTTTTCTCAGGTTCTTACCATCATGGAGCATACCTTCTCACCTCTTACGTATAAATTTTTATTTTTATAAAGCGCAAGGTGTATGAGGCCTTGTCCAATGCTTTCCTAGTCTGTCAGCCAGGAGAGGGCCATATTCCTTGTGTCACAGAGTGCTAGCAGAATGCCCGGCCCTGGGATGGAGGGTAGGTGGGAGGTGAGTTTCATCTCCAGACTCTGGGATGGATCAGGAGGTCTTTCAGGGAGCTGAACAGGGAAACAGGTTTTGCTGAGGTAGCAGAGAGAGATCCACCTTTCTTTCCTAGGTAGTTTCCCTCCTGCCCTCCCTACTGTTCAACTCACCATACATTTTCAACTCACAGGCCAGATGCTGAGGGAGCTGAGCGACACCTAAGGCATAAAGGCCTGCCAATGAGCAGGTAGCATCAGCTTCCACGTCCTCATTTTTAGACTGAGGAGCACTCCTGGATGAGGGAGAGAGGAGTCAGGAGCCGGTGTTTGAGCTTTATTTTGGTCCTCACTAGTTTTAAAAATCTTGGACAAGTCTCTTCTGGATTTGAGCTTCAGTTGCTTCTGGAAGATGAAGATAGACAAGACAGAGTGGGGGAGTCATGTTTCAGGGTGTGCACCTGGAGCATTTGTCAGGGCAGGTTGCCTGGTTCGGTTTCTAGATCTGACTGCGCTTAGGTTCTGGTCATGACTCATGCTGCTAGCCACAGACCACATAGCACAGAATGGCACTTGAGTAGTGATGAATATCAGCCCTGAGTACTCCATCCCTCCAAGTTCCCCCAGTCCTCACCTGATGAACCCGAGGGGGGACAGTTAATAGATGAAGAGAAAGAAGAAGTAAAAAGAAACAGTTTCCTCAAAGACAGGCTAGAATGTGAAGCCAGTCCAAATACCCAAAGAGAAATAAGAAGAGCATCCGAAATGGAGTTTATATCAAAAGCTCTCTCTGCGGGGATATCTAAAGAACATACTTTGGAAAAAAAAAAAACATGTTTAACCCATAAAAAAGGAATGTGATGCCAAAAGGGGTGTAAGTGGGTAGAGAAAAGTAAATAAGGACATGCATGTAAGTAATGATGATCAAATAATCATTACACGGTGTAGTAGTTTGAGAGAAAATGGGTCCCAATGGGCACTATTAGGATGTATGGACTTGTTGGAGCAAGTGTGTCACTGTGGGGGTGGACTTTGAGGTCTCTTTTGCTCAGGCTTCCCTCACTATGACACTCAGTCCACTTCCTGTTGTCTTCTGTCAAGATGTAGCTAGTACCATGTCTACCGTCATACTACCATGCTCCCCGCCATGCTGCCTGCCATGATGATAATGGACTGAACCAATTGTAAGCCGCCACCTCATTTAAATGTTTTCCTTTATAAGAGTTGCTGTGGTCATGGTGTCTCTTAACAACAATAGAAACCCTAACTAAGTCACATGGTATTAAAGAGAGATGACTCAATTAAGGGGCCACAAACCAAGGTAGAACTGAAATACTTGAGAACTAAAAAAAATGAGAAAAGAGTAATTTGAGTTGAAGTGTGCTTAAGTCTTTCAAGGGAAAGTACTATTGAATTTTAGATTTTAATAAGTATACATGAAAAAAAGAATAACTGGTAAAAAGAAGAAATAAAACAAATAAAGAAACAGAAAAATGAGCTAAAGAGAAGATTAATTTTAAAAAGGTCAGAAAAAGAAAACTTAAAAAAGGCAAAGAGGAGCAGAAAATAAGATGATAGAAAGTCAAATATATTAGGAATACGTAAATCCAGTAAATGTAAATGATATCCAGCTAATAAACAAAGTTTGTCTTCTTGGTAGAAATCAACGAGCAACCATCTGTTCCTACTCTGGCTAAATGATGTTTGCTCAGGAGACTGTAAAATATATAGGCTCAGGAAGACTGAAGACACAGGGTTTGAAAACAAAATGTGAATATAAGATTGAGGGTGATCCCCACATTGTCAAGTCCAGCCATATTTAGTTTAGTTAGTGCTTTCAGACAAGTTGTATTTACTCTACTAATGCAATGTTGGTGTAATATATTGAAAGACATTCACCACATCCTAATATTAAGTCAAAAGATTGAAACTACAAATGATCTCAATAGACTCAGAAAAAAAAACCACTTGATAAAATACCATTATGATAAGACATGGTAGTTGCTATGGTTTGTATGGGGCCTTAGTTAGAGTTTCTGTTGCTGTGAAGATTCTATGACCATGGCAACTCTTACAAAGGAAAAAAATTAACAGAATGGCTTACAGTTCCAGAAATTTAATCCATCATCATGATAGTATGACATGGTGTTGTGTAGGCAGACATGGCACTGGAGCTGAGAGTCCTACATCTTGATTGGCAAGCAACAGGAAGTGGTCTGTATCACTGGGTGTAGCTTGAGCATATGTGAACTCAAAGCCTGCCTCCACAGTGACACACTTCTTCCAACAAGACCACACTGACTCTGTGACTTGTAGGTTCTGGGGCTGGAGGGGTGGGAATTTTAAAAAAGTCAGGGAAGTGTGGGAAGTGCGACACCGCAGCTTTGGAGGCTGAGGGAGGAGGCCACGTGGGCATTTGGAGTTTACTCCATGTTGGGCGCCAAATGTAGTTGGAAGTTTCTCTGGTCCCACCTGGCTCCACAGTCTGTGTTTCTCTGGTCCCACCTGGCCCCACGGTCCTGCAGCTATCTGCTTATAAAATAATCATTCAAAAGCTTATATTAATTATCAACTGTATGGTCTATGGCAGGCTTCTTGCTAGCTAGCTCTTTCATCTTAAGTAACCAATTTCTATTCTATGTTTTGACACATGGCCATGGCTTTACGTGCATCCCATTACATGTTGCTTCTTGGACAGCAATTAGGCATCTCCTCTTATTCTCCTTTCTCCTCTCATTATCTCTCTTAGATTTTCCCTCCTGGGTCCATCCTACCCTGCCATAGACCAATGCAGCTTTGTTTACTAACCAATGGGAACAGCATATATTCACAGTGTACAGAAAGACATCCCACAGCACTATTTCAACAAGGCCACACCTCCTAATAGTGCTACTCCCTTTGGGGTTCATTTTCTTTCAAACTACCACACATGGTTCAGGTCTGGTTACCCCACTGTGTCACTATGTAGAGATGGTGGATCATTTAGGAAGTAGAGTCTAGTGGGAGTGAAATAGGTCATTAGAAGCATGTCCTTGAGGGGTCTAGCTATTGGGAGTCTAGCCCCTACCTCTCTCTTTGTTCTGCAACTGCTGTGAGGTGAGTGGGTTGCTCCACCATGCTCCTGCCACTGTGTACTACCATATTCTAAGCCAAAAGCAATGTGTCAGCTGGTCATGGACTAGAACAGCTGAATCCGAGGGCCCAAATAAACCTTTTTGTTTGTTTGTTTCTAGGTTGATTATTTATATTTTATAATAGTAACAGAAAGTGGACACACTAATAACACAAGGAGCATTCCTTAATTAGAGAGAGGGTTTCTACCACATACTTAACAGCAAATGAAGTATGTGACAGGGCTTGTTTTAGTTCATCTCTTTAAAATTAAGACTGATGCAAAGATGTCTGCTGTCACTGATTTAACCCAACAGTGCAGTATAGTAAGGCGACATAAAAAAGTGAATGAAACTCTGATTGATTATCACAGGAGGTAACAGTCTATGTAGACTCTGGGAGCACCTACAGACACACTGGCAAAATGAATAAACACTCGGAAGATTTCTGGGCTATAAAAAAGATGTATTATATTATACATTATATAATATTATATTAGATAAGGTATATGCTAAATATTAGAAATATATACTATAAATATGTTAGAAATCAACTGTATTTCTACATACCACAAAAGTGTTAAAAATTAAAAAAATTAGTATTTATAATATGAACAGAAAATGCAAGTTACTTGGTAATAAAACTAACCAAATTAGAGACCTTCCAAAAAAAATGAAAAATTGTTTTTTTGTGTATTACAGAAGATCCAAATAAATGAAGAAGTGGGAGAAATCAATGCCATGAGGTACGGGTTTTCTTCAAATTAATGATATATTTGTTGGAATTAAAATTGAAATCCCAGTGTGTGTGTGTATACATGTGTGTGCATCCTAAAATTTATATGGAATAATTAAGATTCAATAATAGTTCAAAAACATTTGAAGGAAATGAACAAGATACTTAGATTTGTCCTGGCAAAACATATGATTTACTTAAAAAATCTTAATAATTAAGGTATTGTGAATACTTATGGTTGTGTAAACCAATATGTTTTCCCCTCCCCTTAAAAATTACCCTCAAATATCAACAATAACATTATAAATAAAAAAAGAAAGATGAAAACGGAAAGAAAAAAGACACCATATTTGAGAAAACCATAGTGTAGTTATTACTAAGACTGCTAACATGTGTAGGAATAGTCCAAAGGAGCTGAAATAGGAAGTGAAGAGGAGGCAATTAAGACAAAGACCCTGAGAGTCAACTTCCTTTGATGAGAAAACCTGGAAAATATCCTTTCTAAAGGCAAAATTGTTGTAGGATAATCTTTTTTTTTTTTTTTTACACTGTGAAGATGTGTCTTTGTCAAGGTGCCTTCTGATTGGTTTAATAAAGAGCTGAACGGCCAATAGCTAGGCAGGAGAGAATAGGTGAGATTCCCAGTGAGAGAGAGGAAGAGGAGGAGGAATCCTAGCTTGGAGCAAGTCGGATATGCCATGCTGAGGAGAGGTAACCGAGTCATATGACAGAATGTAGATTAAAAAATATGAATTAATTAAGTTATAAGAACTAGTTGAAAACAAGCCTAAGCTGAAAGCCAAGCTTTCATAATTAATAATAAGTCTCCATGCCATTATTTGGGGGCTGGTAGTCCAAAGATATTCTAACAAGAAAGCTTACTACACAAAAGGATGTGAGAACTCCACCTCCCATTTCCAAAACTTGTACAGTAACCAGAGTTACACGGGCTAAAGAAAGGAGCCTCCTGGACTAGATCTGTTTGAGAAAAGCTGAGGATACAGATCTCTAAAAGATCCTCAAGGAGAACTCATTTGCAGAGTGGTGTGTTCCTATGGCAGCAGAGAAGAGACCTCGCTTGGAAACAGCAAAGTCTGAACTCCATGTTTTCCTGCCAGAGAATCCTTCTGTCTGTCAATTCAAAGTTGAGGAAACTGGATCCAAACTTATTCAGGGCTAGCTAGGATCTTTAGTGTTTTTATCAGGCATAATAATCAGGCTCTAACAGCTCCAAAGATGTTATAAGAAACATAGCAACACAAAGCTAGTCTTGTATGCAAAGAAAAGAAAGAAAGAAGACTATGTTCAGAGGTTTACTGCTACTCAGACTCCCCCTCAGAGAAAAGCTTCCACACAGCATATGAAAATTGGGACCAAATATTTTATCATAAATTTACAACAATTTTCTGAAGCCATTGCCTCTTTAAGTAGTGAAGCAAAGATCCCAAGTATCACAAGAATAATAATACAAGAACTTGCAGGATTCAAGAAAGAGTTAGAAAAAGAAATTGCCCAGAGGTTAAGACAGCTTCACCTGTAGAAGGAGTATAAAGGAGAAAATGGGCCTTGAGGGAAACACAGCAAATGATCTAAAGAATAAAAACAGGACAAGCACACAGAATGAAACAGAAAGACACCTTAAAGCAGTATTTGAGAGAAAATAATTAATATAGAAAATAAGCAATGAAGATCCATCTTGTGCACTTTGGATTCCCTCAAGCAGCTAACTAAACAACAGTACACAGCAAATATTGAAGGGCTAAACTCATGAAGACTTCAGGAGGTAAAGTAGTCTTGAGTGTACATATTTATTTAAATATTAAGAAAAGAATCTTTTGCTAGCTCAGGTAATTTTAGGTCATGTATATGAGGAAGAAAAGCATAGACTTACATTTATTCAGATAAACTTCCAACACCATTGTACATTTTATAAGTCCCTCACAGAAAGATCAAGAACTGGGGATTTTTATACCCAGTCCACCTGTCCTCAGACCTTCAGTTATAAAAGGTATAGGCAAGCACAGATGAATATGTTTGATTCCTGGTCTATAAATCTATGATTAATTAGGAAAATGGAGGCAAAACCACCTGAATCTAAAAGCAGCATGATTATATTAAAGAAGAAGAAATAAATAATGCTCTAAATTATACAACTGATACATCTAACATAAACTGTGAGAGGTGGGATATTTGCTTTTTGTCTCATGTTAACTGAAAATAAAACATATTTTAAAGCTGACAGAGTAATTGAGGTGTATGACCATGTTGATTCATCTTTGTTGTCAAATTGATAGACAAATAAGAGACATACCTCTGGTGGGTCTGTGAAAGTATTTCCTGGAGGGATTAGCTGAAAGAGGAGACTATGCCAGAGCAGGCAGTGCTTTTCTGTGGAGATCCAGACACCAAGAGGTCCGAGGAAAACAAAGGGTTGCTTTTGCTTGCCTGCTTTTACTCCCTGCTAGTGGATGCATCTACTATGTTGCTGCTGCTGCCATCCTTTGCTGCTATCAGAACACAGCTCTTCAGCCTTCCAACATGGACTGAATACCAGTGATTCCCCAGGAATGTTCCAGGCCCTCAGTGCCAGATTGGGACAGCAGAGGCCCCCAGCCTTGTGCACTGAGCAAGCTACTTGGTTTACAACCTCTCTAGGGTACAGATAATTTTTTAACTTACTAGTCCATATTGTGTAAGACAATCTAGCCAATCCTCTCTGTAATATTCATCTGTTCTGTCTGTTCCTCTGGAGAATCCTGACAAACCCTGTACTGATTGGTTTTGGTCAACATGACACAAACCTAGACATATCTGGGAAGAGGTAATCTTAGCTGAGGAAATGCCTCCATAATACTGGCCTGTAGGCATGTCTATGGGGTATTATCTTGACAACATAAATCTTTAATGATTCTTCGGGAATTTCACTTTATGCATCCCAGGCCTGCTCACCTCCCAGTTCCTTCATATTCGCTCCTCACACTCACAGTGTCTCCTCCAAAACAACAACAACAACAAACAAAAAACACCCTATCAAATTAATTAAAAACAAAACAAACAAAACCCCCACCTTGTTCCTCTGTCTTTCCTGGCTCTCCAACACCTCTTCATTCATCCTAGTGACATTGAGAGCTGTGGTATGTCATGCAGTATACCCCTTTTCCAATCAGCCTTACCCACAAATGTTCACTGCAGTGAGCCATTGGTCTGGTTCAAGACCTCTGGCCTCTGGCACACCGTCATAGCTGGACCCTCACCAAAACTCCTCTTGGGTATTCTGCTGTTGCCCTGAGTCATAGAGATCCTCTGACTATTGTTCTTCAGGACTAATCCCTTTGCGTGAGCCAGCAGCTCATACTCTGGGTAGGTGTTAGGGTGGGCCAACCCAAGGCCCAGGATGTGGGCCCCGGGTGGTAGCTGAGCTGGTCAGTCAGGGCTGCTGGGGACTGCCCTCCTCAGGCAAGGGGCAGAGCCAGCTTGCCAAAGCTATTGGGGCCAGCTCTCCCATGCCAGTGGTGAGGGGTGGGGCCATCTCTCTCAAGTACAGTCGGGGCAGGGTGGGGGTGGCAGATCTCCTATGAGGGGCTGAACAAGCTCTCCTGCTGCAGTACCTAGCAAGGGGCAAGGTCAGCTACCCAGAGCAGGACTGACTCAGCACAGTCCTCAGATTTCAACACACATGGTTTCTAGGGCCCCCTGTGGTAACATGGGCCATGGACATCAACACAGAACCCAGCTGCAACAGGGCTATGGACCTAGACATGACCCGTGGCAAGTCACTATGTCCCCGGTGGCAGGACAGACCACTCAGATCAGTATGGCCCTGATGGCAGCATGGCGCTTGGATACCAATGTCGTTTCAGGTGGCTGACTAGACCTCATGCATCTGCACAACCCTCAGTGGTAACAGGAGCCATGGACAACAACTTAGACCTCAGCTGCTGCAGTGCCATCGACTCAGACACAGCAACTTGGCCCAGATGTCATCAAGGCCCTTGGTGGCAGTGCAGGGCACTCAGATCAGCATGGTCCCAATGGCGTCACAGCTCTCGGACACCAGCATGACTACAGGTTGTGGCCTAGACCCTGGGTATCCATGCAGCCATTGGTGCAACAACCCAGAGCCTAGCTGCAGTAGGACTATGGACCCAGACATGGTTCTCATAGCAGCCTGGGTCCGGATGTCACCATGGTCCCAGCAGCAGCATGGCTCTTGGACACCAGCATAGCCTTAGGTGGCTGACCAGACCCTGGGCATCTGTACAGCTTTCAGTGATTTCTGAAGCCATGGACATTAACACAGATGCTGGTTGCTATAGGGCCATGGACCCAGACATGGCCCTTGGTAGCAGCTCAGGCTCAGATACATCATGCCCCTTGGTGGCAGCACAGACCACTCAGATCAGCATGGCCATAGTGGTGGCACAGCCCTTAGATTCCAACATGGCCACAGGTGGTAGCCCAGACCCTGGGGGTCCTTGTGGCCTTTGGTGGCAGCATGGGTTATGGATGCCATCACAGACCCCAGCTGCAATAGAACCACAGACCCAGACATGGCCCACAGACCCAGCAACCTGGGCCTGGATGTCACCCTGGCCCTAGGTGGCAAGAAGGCCACCCATATCAGCCTATTCCTCACCACCTTCACTTCTTCAGTTCTGCCTCTTTCCATAGCATATGAACCATTCTGTTTCTCTTTCTCTCTCATTTCTCCACCATGTATTTGCTCATCATAATGGTACTTACCTGCTCAGCACTGCAAGGTGCTGGGTGGGCCCATGGATGTCTTCAGCCAGCCCAGACTATGAGGACCCAGGTTGGCCTGTGGGTGTCTTTCACCCGCCTAGGCTGTATTGTCTTGAATTATGATTGATGTGGGAGGTCCCAGTTCACTGTGGCTGGGTGGTGCCACCCCTAGCCTGAGTTGTGGGCCTGAGCTGTGTAAGAGAGCAGGCTGAGCAAGGCATGAGTAGCAAGCCAGTAAGCGGTGTTCCTGCGTGGCCTCTACATCAGTTACTGTTTCCAGGTTCCTGCCCCGACTTCCTCAGTGATGGACTAAGAGGTAATATAAACCCTTTCTCCCCAGTGCTCTTGGTCATGGTGTTTTAGTACAGCCATAGGAACCCCAACTAAGACAAATATAACGCCTATTTTTTTTTCTGTCTTCCCCATCTCAGATGCTGCTTTTCTAACAGCTGAGAGTTAGGAGCAAAAAGTAATATGACAAAATCTGAAAGGAGGGGAAGGAAAGATGCACAGGGCTTTATTGCTTGTTGGAGGGGACTAATGATGCTGTCTCCATAACAAAGTCACATCAAGTTGATAAATATAACAACAAAACAAAACCACAACTTTCTATCAAACAATTCCACAAAATTAGCAAAGCAGAGGGCTGAAGAACAGAAAATAACTGCAAGGCTGAAAGATATGCAGCAACCAAGGTCAAGCACATCATTCATATCAGTAAATGTGCAAAGACTAAAGCCATACATTAAGCAAAAGCAGACAAAATCCCGTGCAGCCCAACAGAGACAGGACTAGAGAAAAGCCACTCACATAGGTTGAAATATAAGTTCTGGCAGGAGTCCATCAGTCCCAGCAGAAGGCACAAAGGGCCATCAGCCGACAAGGAGCATCAAATGAGCCAGAGACAGGTACATGCGATGAAGGCTGTAACTGCAATGGACGTATTTATGAGTTATCTAGAGCTGTCTGTCAAATTGCCCTCGGATTTAGCAGCTTTGGACAAGGAACCTTTGTTGGTTTGGATTAGGATTCTTGCAGGCGGCAGCCTAACTTTGGGGTTGCTGCTTGCTCAGGGGTTGTAAGGAAGCTCCTGGCTCAGGGCTACAGGAAACTAAGACTTCACTGAGACTGACATATTCTCATCAGTGCTTACTTATCTGATGGGAGGGAAAGCAGGTGGTAGTGGGAGGCAGCTCATAGTGAAGGCTGTGGTGCTTTATGTCACCTAATCTTGGAAGTGATATATCCACTATTTCTGCTGTTCTAGAGGTCATATAGGTAGATGTGGAAGGAATCACACAGGCTTGTGTATACTACACAGCAGAGGCCACTGCCCATTTATGCACAAAACAGCACAGCATTGTCTTCCACAAAATTGAAACCATTGGAGATACAGGGGAAACGAGCTACAGATAAACTAGTGTTCATGGACAGACTACCTGGATTAGCAACCAGTATACTAGAAGACAAATGGGTAAGAAAGAATTGAAGGTAGAAAAGCCTAAACATTGAAATCTCTGTTCTAAAATGGACAATCCACCTCTTAAAAACAGCTACCTGTAAAAAGAACGTTCATGGAAATTAATATTATGGCTAGCGAGGTAGCTCAGTGGTAAAAGCACTTGCCATGAAAACCTCAGGACCTGAGCTTGATTCCCAGAGCTCCCAGTGGAAGAAGAAAACCAGCTCCTCTGACATCCATAGGCATACCAGAGCAGGCACCTGTACACACACACACACACACACACACACACACACACACACACACACACACACACACACACAAATAAAATTAAAACATTAAGACCATGTAGAAACTCTTGATAAATCACAAAATGTGAAAAGTAGTGTGCATTACATTCTCTGATCACAAATTTAGGAAATAACCATGACATCAGAAGACAAAGAGGGTCCCTACCTGAAAATTAAAACGAGCAACAGCAGCAAGGATGGTGGCTTTTGATGGAAGACAAACTCTTCTTCGATGGAAGTCGAAGTGAAAAACATCTTGATAGTGAACACACTGAGCATGCCACGTCAGAGCCTGATTGGTCCAGGAATGTTCCAGAGCACCTACTGAGCATGCCTCATCAGAGCCCAGGGTCCTCAGGGCCAGGTTGCTGCCAATGGCTGCATGAGGATATGGAGAACAGGTTTTCTAAGAATTAAATAGTATCTATAACCAAGTGTACTCGCCTGTCCATCTGGTTTGCGCTCAGTGGGTTTAGAATTTTATCAAGGAACTGTGTTATGTTTTGAGATGCCTCTATACTGCTAAAGGGAGCAATTAGACAAAAGGAAAACATCAGAAGAAGGAAAACTGGGAGGGAAGATGTGGAGTTTACAGGTGAGCATGTGCCTAAACCAACTGAAGAACGTGGGCTTGGAAGATGACTCAGTGAGGGAGGGGCTGTCTCTGCAACGCAAGGACCTGGTTTTTAATACTGAGACTCAGTGTGTAAAGTGAGGCCTGACTGCATGTGCCTGCACCACAGCACTGGGGTGGGGGCTCACTACCAGGGCACCCTAGCTGAATTGATGGTTCACTGAAAGACACTGCTTCAATAAATAAATGAATAAATAAGTAAATAAGGTAGAGGGGCTTGAGAGATGGTCCAGCTGTCCAGAGCATTTGCTGCTCTTTAAGAGGACCCCAGTTTATTTCCCAACATCATGTCTATTGGTTCCCAACCACCTGTAACTCCAGGGGATCTGATATTTTCTTTAGACCTCCTGGGCATCTGCATATAAGCACACACACACACACACACACACACACACACACACACACACACACTTTAAAAAAGGAAATGTAGAGAGTGATAGAGGAAGACACCCAATGACCCAATGTCCTCTTCTGGCTCCGGTCTAGGCATGAACAGACACATGCACAACACCCCCCCACACACATACTTCACACAGTGCACACATACATGCACAAACTACACACACACACACTTTACACCATGTACACACAGATGCACAAATTACACACACACACTTTACACCTCACACCCACACATACACATTAAAAACATAAGATAACTTAAAGAACATGCAGCAAAACTATTAGCAAGATTAAGCTTGTTTTAATGAGATGATTAAACGAAGTTAATAAATAATTATTTTTGTGTAAAAATATTACTACTTTGGAAGATATAATGAAAAACACGTTTCATTCACAGGAGCAATGGCAATCCACAGCTTAGAGTGAAGTTACATGTTGGAGCAAGGCCTGTGCAAGGAAAAGGCTGAAACACTCCTCATAGACACAAAGGAAAACCTGGAGAAATGGAAAGACCATGTTTTTGGCCAGGAAGACTCAACACCGTAAAGCTGTCAATTCTCCCTAAGTACATTTCTAAATTTAATGTGATCCCAATAAAATACCAACAGTTTTTTTTAACCCAGACAAGCTGAATTCTAAAGTTCATGTGAAAAAAAATGAAGAAATAAAAACATTAAGAAAAACTCCGAAAAGAAGAGTAATATCAGTGGATTCATTCAAGCAGATACTAAAACATATTAAAAGTCTCAGTAATTGAAACCATGAGGAACTGATGCATGAAGAGCGAGACAGGCCAATCAACCATAATAGAAAGCCCAGAAATAGAAGCAAATATGCACGTGGGATATTAGTGTACCAAAAGAGTGTCTCTAAAATCAGTGAGAGAAATGATTAACTGTCCAATAAATGTGGCTGGGGTCACTGGTTGGCCATGTGGAAAAATGATAAAGTTAGCGTCAAACTTATGATTGTCTACCAGGACAAATTCCAAGTGGATTGAGGACTGAGGAGCAAAAACTATGTCACCAACATCCCAGAAGAAAACATGAGAAAAGCTGTTTATAAACTCAGAGTAAGAAAGCTCTTTCAAACCGCGACTCAAGAAGAGAGGGCATCAGAGGGGAAAAACAGAGAAATTAAGCTACATTAAGGAACACTTTATATCAACACAGAGAGTGAAAAGTAACTAATTGGCTGATAAACTCATATTTCGTCAAAGGACTGATTTCCCTGATTTATGAAGTGGTTTTAGAATCAGCGAGATAAAGGAGCAAGGGCCCAGAAGAAAATGCCCACAAGGCAGAGGCAAGCATTCAGTGAAGGGTCTGCTTGCTTGTGATCACAGAATTAATGCAGATTAAAACTATGCAGAGATCCAAGTTTCATGCGAGAATGAGAAGAAACACCCAAGAGCCTGAGGACATATCCTTTCTGCGAGGATATGTGATGGTTAATATTGCCTGTCAACCTGGTAGGCTCTGGAGTTACCTAGGGGACAAACCTCTGGACACACAGGAAAGTAAGTTTCTAGGCTGAGTTCTGTAAGAGAGGAGGAGTCAGTACGGTGGTTTCACTGAGAATGGCCCATAGTCTCATATGTGTGCATGCTTGGGCCCCAGCTAGTGGAACTGTTTAGGAAGGATTAGGAGATGTGACTTTGTTGGAGGAGATGGGTCATGGTGGGTGGGCTTTCAGGTGTACAGAAGTGCAGGCCAGACCCAGTCTCACTCTCTGCCTGCAACTTTTAGGTCAAATGTGAGTTCTCAGCTACTGCTCCAGTACTATGCCTGCCTGCCTGATGCCATGCTCCCTGCAAGAAGTTCATGGACTCACCCTCTTACCTGTAAGCAAAACCCTAATTCTACGCCTTCGTTATAAGTTGCCTTATCATGGTGTCTTCTTACAGCAATAAAACAGTAACTAAGACAGTTTCTACCTTTCTATTTGGCTCTGTATGAATGCACCACATTACTTGATCAGTAATTAAGCACTTTATTTATTTAAATTGAAAAAATTTTATACAGTGTATTCTGATCACCTTTCCCCCTCCCCCAATTCCTCCCAGACCCTACCTACCCTACTGCATGTTTTTTCTTCCTCTCTCTTTAAAAAACAATAAAAAACAAGTACTTTATTTTTAAAAAAATTTATTATCATCACAGGGCCTATGTGTATTGTGCATGGTGTGTGTGTGTGTGTGTGTGTGTGTGAGAGAGAGAGAGAGAGAGAGAGAGAGAGACAGAGACAGAGACAGAGAGACAGAGACAGACAGAAAGACAGAGACAGAGAATCGGGGACAGCGCACACGTCAGAGTGCATGTGTGGACATCAGAGGACAACTCTCAGGAGCTGCTTCTCTCCTTACACCATGTGCTTCTGGGGATCACAGTCAAATGCTGGGCTTGAGAGGTAAGCAGAGCCCTATTGGCACTTCCAGTAATTAGCTTCTTTAATGTGTACACCTATGGAAACTTTAAACATGACACGCAACACGCCAAACCAATGAACAGCAGCAGACAATGCAATCAGTTCAACTGGGATAATGTAATCTAAATGGAAAAGTAAACCTGCTCTAACTCGCTCCACACAAGCTTAAGTATCTTTTACAACAACTGACTAGAAAATGCAATGTAATTTTCTGTTTTAGTTTTTACAGCAGTAAGAGAAACTATAAATTATCAAGCTATTAACTTATTAAGAATGAATCCCTGGGGTAGAGCACTTATGAGTCCCTGGGTTTGTTCCCCAACACAGCCCCTACCCTCAAAGCATAAGAACTTTGAGGAAAGATTTAAAACTTCTACAGAAGACCTAAAGACTTAACCAAAGAATAGGTGCCTCTTATTGATGCACAGGTGTTCAATCACCCCAAATTAGTTTATAAACTCAAAATGTTATAAAGTCAGATGTTCTTCTCCTCCCAGCTTTGATGGGGACAGCTGGTGTTTGCTTAGCTTCAGAAGCTAAAGTGTCTGATGTCCTGAGCATATCATGTCACCTGCCCTTACAAGGATCTCGCGTCTCTTCAGTGATGTCCCCACTTCTCTGTAGACCACACCTGCCTATGGCCTTCTGATCGCTCTTTTTGCTGTTCCTAATGGTCACCCTTTCTACTTTCTCCCCCAAGGTGCTTGTCATGCTGAGGATGCAGCACACCCATTTGACTCCATACTCTTCACAGATGCTGTCCCTCTCTGTGGTACCTTCTCTTGCTCCTGTCTGGATGATGAAGTAAAATGTCATGTCCTTCCAAAAGCACCCCAGAACCTCCCCATATGGGTTACCTCTGCTTGTTTTCACGTGACACTTCCTCCCACTCACCCCCACCCTGACACTCTTTACCAACCCATTTCCACATCTCTTACCCCTCCCTAGACCATGACTTCCTTGGGAAAAGTGGATCTAACCCATCAAGGTGTTTCTAGGGCTCTTCCCAGGGCCAGACACAATGTTGGTGTCCTATGACTGATGAATGAATGAATGGCACAATGCCAGGGTCTTGGTGCTTGGGTTGAAATCCCAGTTACTGCATTTTCTTCATGTGATAAAGCACAAAATGCTTTTCTTCCATGTTTCTTCATCTGTGAAATGAGGCCGAGTAGGAGAACCTGTTGCATGGCATCTTCCTGAATACTCAGACTCAATACACCAAGTGGTTAACTTGGTGCAGAGAGTATGTAAGTAGTGCAGGAAATATTACTTACTATTGCAACTAAGTCATATATTCATGTATCCAACCATCCAATTCATCATTCATTTTTTTCCCATAAAAGTTTTTTTAATGTAGTTTCTTTTCTGCACCAGGTTTTGGGTTGGGTACTGGAGCCACAGATATAAACTAGACAAATACTATCCTTAATATGGGTAGGCACTGGGTAGATAGAAGTAGATGTCCAGGAAGGATGGTGTTCAGAGTGTCATGGCTCAGGGCTGGTAAACAGGGACCCCTGACTGCTGTGGGATGATGCTTTTGTATACTGGTTTAATAAAACCAGGAAGGGTTGAGTCAGGAGTCACCAGTCAGACACAGAGGAAGCAAAATGACAAGGCAGAACTGAGAAAAGGTACCAAGCCACATGGCTAAACATAGATAAGAATTATGGGTTAATTTAAGTGGAAGAGCTAGTCAGTAGTAAACTTGAGCTAATGGCCAAGCAGTTTTAATTAATATAAGCTTCTGAATGATTATTTTATAAGTGGGTCATGGAACTGCAGGGGCTTGGTGAGACCAGAGAAATCTTCCAACTATAATTGGCACTTCACTGTTGGGCATTGATCCACATAAACCTAAGAAAGCTTAAAGATTCTGAACACACAGAAATGGAGCCATACTAGGACTCATAGTCTCACAGCCTCATGCCAGAAGCAGTGCAGACTCATCTCCCAACAGCTGCTTGCAAGATGGAACTGGCCACCAGCTGCCATGAGCTAAGCAGCGTGGCTGCAGATTCCTGCCACTGTATACAGTGACGTCTGCAAGACATGCAGCATGGTGAATGGTGGATATAGCTTTTGCTAGTACAGACCAAAAAAAAAGAAAGAAAGAAAGAAAGAAAGAAAGAAAGAAAGAAAGAAAGAAAGAAAGAAAGAAAGAAAGAAAGAAAGAAAGAAAGAAAGAAAGAAAAGGTTTTGGGGCTACACACTGCTGCATGAAAGCATAGACCCCACTGCTACACAGAGTCAGCGATGTACATGGTTCCCCCAGAGCTGGCAGTAGTTCCACCATGTTGGAAAGCTGAGGTGGGTGGAGCCAGCAGCTAAAGCTGCCATTTCAGTCCCAGTCATTCTGCAGTTTAAAGCAATAGATTCACAAAAAGACAGATTCAGATGAAATAAACATCAAAATGGTTTACATTGTGTATAAAAATGTACATAGGCTTGGAAGAGAGAGGAAAAGGAGTATATGCAGTTAAATAAAAAATAGTCAAAAAATAAAGTCATTAAAGTTAAAGTAAAAGTAATATAATAAAGCCACATAAAGATGGATATTACACAGTAAATCTGGACTATGTTGTCTTTGGGATTTTTAACTGCAGAGAAACATTTGATTGTAAAGGCTACTAAGTTAAACCAATATGTATATTTCAAAGGTATCTTGACTTCAAAATTTGGATCTAAGTATATGTTGCTTTGGAGAGGAGGCTCTGCTTTTGTTTACACAGAAGATGAGAACCTATGGATTTGTTCCAGGTTAAGATGGATCAGATTTGATCAAGCCAGACCTCCTAAACCTTAACAGATGGTACTATCAACAAGGTTATAACCAGTCTTCCCAGGACTTGACCATTATCTCAAATTTTCTCAGGATCCCCATAAGACTACCAATGCCCCTTATCAGCAGGAAGTAGCCTAGAAAACTATGCCCACATTTCCAGATATTTGTCTTTGTTTAGAGATTGGTTACAAATTGTTATTGGTCATAGTCAATATCTTTCTAAAGAAAAAAGGGGGATAGGATATAGATATGATTGGATGAAAGGATAGATTATTGAATCTACTTTTAAAGAGCAACTTGTTTTAAATTGCTAAAGGTTTTAGTTTATTGATACAAATTTAAAGTTAATTTTGTTATACTGTAGGTATATTTCTACTCTTATTAAAAGTATTTTGTTTATGCAACTCATTTAAGATTGTAGTGTATAGTTGAGAAATACAGCTTAATAATTAGTCATCTATGATAATCAAACATAGTAATGTTAGTTAAGTTTTCTAGCTATACATAGATATAATTCAATTAGGTAGGTAATCTTCAAACACTTCAAAGATCTACAGAATATGGCATTTAAAATGTTTTAAAACTTAGACTTTCCTGGACAATGAGACATGTCTGCTCCTGGCAGCACTAATTTACTTCAAAGAGAAAGATGGGCATCGAAGACACTCTATGGAGTTTATCTTCTTTTTGGAAAAATAACCATTTGGGTGAGAAACTGATCTTGCCTGGACTGCCGATAATATGTTATATAAATTAGACATACAGGATCCATAGAAGGGTGATCACTGAACTTTGCAAGGTGAAATGGTTCTTTAGGTTCCTGCTTGGCAGAGTAGACTGCCAGACATTCTACAGAACACAGAGAAGTGACTGACAGACTCTAGACCTATAGGCTGAAGATGGATGCCCCGACATGTGGTGATATTTTATTTGTGCTTTAATAAAGCTTGCCTGGAGATAAAGGGGAAAAGGCCAGCCATTTTAAGTAAACAAGAAGTCAGGCAGCACACGTTCTTAATGCTATCACTAAGCAGGCCGGGTCTCTGTGTGTTCAAGGCCATACCAGGGAACAGAGCCAAGTGTGGTGACACACGCCTTTAATCCCAGCACCAACCATAGAGACCTGGAGGTCTGTACAGACAGGCAGTGACAAGGAAGTGAGGTAGCAGGGCTAAGATAGCCAATGAGAAGCAGAACAGCAACGCAATAAAGGCCTGGGTAGACAGGAAGTAACTCGCATTTGGAAGCTGCAGAGTTGGTGAGGTAAGGTTGGCTGGTGGCTTTCCTTATTTCCCTGATCTCTCTAAGGCTTTCACCCCTATATTTGTCTCCATGTTCTTTATTTAATAAGGCCATTTAGAAACTCATCTACACCAATATTACATAGGAACTTTGGATGACTGTCCAGGCAGCCAGCTGTCACTGTCATTCTAGATTTTTGGAAGTTGCTTACAATGTACTTCCTGTTTACTTAGGCAATATTATATCCTTCTGAGGTCTTTGATGTAGTTGAAGACTAAATAGTTATAATTTTCCTTTGTTATTATAAAAGATAAATTATATATGAAATTTTAGACCCAAATATAGGATAGACGATAGAATATTTTCTTTAATTTTGCCAAATATAAATAGATTAGATATTGTACCTATAATTCTTTCTTGATAACTGTTCTATTATATGTAATTTTATTATGCTAAAGTTAAAACTTTCCTTTTTGATTAGACAGAAAAGGGGAAATGCTGTGAAATAATGCTTTTGTACACTGGTTTAATAAAACACTGATTGGTCAGTAGTCAGGCAGGAAGTATAGGCAGGGCAAGCAGATGAGAGGAATTCTGGGAAGAGGAA